TGTTCTGTCTGACAGCCTCTTGGTCTAGATACAGGTTCCTCATGAACACAGTGATGGATTCTGGAATACCCATTATTTTTAATTCTATCCATAATTTGTTAAGCCTCACACTCAGACTTACTTGAATAGTCAACAAAAACACATCTTTCTGGTATTCTTTGCTTTCAGCCAAGATCCATCTGACATTAGCAATGACATCACGCTGTCTTCTCCAGAATCCAGCTTGAATTTCTGGAAGATACTTGTCAATATATTGCCTCACCCCTTTTAGGATTTTCTTAAGGAAAACATTACTTGTTTGTAATAGTGATGATGTCGTTGAGTAATTTCCACTTTCTGTTGGATCACCTTTGCTTGGAATTGGCAAAAATTGATCTCTGATAGTCAGTTGGCCAGGAAGCATCTTTCTTCCAAATTTCTTAGCCAAAATTAATGAGTTCCTCCAGCACTACACCCAATTGTTGAAACATTTCATTGGGTTTGCAGTCACTTGCTGGAGCCTGTTTTTCTGTCTTTCGTCTTCCTTTTTTCCCCCTTTCCTAATTCTTTTAACACATCTTAGAATTAGTCCTTCAATACAGTTGTTTTTGTATTGAAATTCTGCTTCCTGAAATGTTTGAACACTGACCAACTCATTGACACCGTGTCTCTGTCTCCAAGATCTCACTGGAAGAGTTCAGATCACCAACATTTCAGCTAGTAGTCAAGCATTTAACCATTAGCACTACCCAGGGACTCCATCTACCTTGAGCTTATTGGAAAGGACTCCCCAGATTTCCCTAGTTTCATCAGAACTCTGATGCTGGAAATCCTGGCAGAGTCCTTTCCCCCCATAAGGGACAGACTGTGTTTCTGCCTGTGAGAACAGTTCCTCCTGTTACAATACAACTTTTGAATACAGAGATGTTAGGGGAAGGCAGATAATCTTAAACATAGAGAGATCCCGTGGAAAAAAACTGTGAAGCAGACAAGAATCCCCAGACAATAGCAGGAAACCAGCCCTTAAATTACATCTGCACCTCTTTCTGAGTCTGAGTGCTGTGCTTGGTGGGTTCAGAGAGCACCCTGCAACACATCCCTCTCACTGCAAGGGAGCTTTGTGCCTGGGATCCCATTGACTTCTCTCACTATGTATCTTACACAGTAATACATGGCTGTGTCCTGAAGTGTCAGACTGTTCATTTATATATACAGCGTGTTCTTGGTGTTGTCCCTGGACATGGTGAATTGACCCTTCATGGCATCTACATGGTATTTTCTACCACCACCATAACTAATGTATGAGACCAAGTGCAGGCCTGTCCCTGGAGCTTGGTGAACCAGCCAATCAACTAGTTACTGAAGGTGAATCCAGATGCTAAACAGAAGAGTGTCAGAGAGCCCCAATACTGTCTTAGGTCTCCCCCAGATACCTTCAGCTGCACCTCACATTGGACACCTGCAAACAGACAGACATCCTTGTCAGGAAGACCTTCACACGTATCCACTGTTTTTTCACTCATGCCCATTTACATGCACTTGCTGCACCTCCCCAACAGAAATGACCTTTTAAAATAGCAATGACTAAAACCCAGGTCACAGAGAGTCCATGGTGAATAATGTATGTTCAATGCAGATCACTTAATGGGGACACCTATGGCCTGAGTCTGGGTCTTGACTCCCAGAGCTGCAGAGATGAGGCGGGGCTTGTTTGCATTAACCGAGTGAGGGCCCTATTTCCATGTCTTCCTCCAATATAACAATTGGTGGAGTTGCCTGACTTCTCGGAGGCCCATACTCCACAGCAGACATGAGTGTCATGGGACAGTTCAGGAAGGCACAATGATGTTGTTGTTCTTATGTGCCGTCGAGTCATCTCTGACTCATAGACACCCATCCTTGGGTTTCCGAGATGGAAAATAAGAGGTAATTATAGGGAGGAAGTGGGAGCAGAGCTGTTGCATTGTGGTAAATTGTAGTCAATGTCATGAGACAAAGTGAAGTGCTGTATGGAATTTGAATTTCCTTTGTAAATTTTCACCCAAATCTCACACACACACACACACACACACACACACACACACAGAGAGTTGTTCCATGGAAGAAAGATGGGGGCTTCTGCTTCTGTACAAACAGGCTTGGAAAACAAATTGGGGTCACTATTATTGGAACTGAGTCTACAGCAGTGACTTTGGTCGTTTGAATACACTCCTTTTACTTTTATTTTGGTGTTTTAACAAAATAAACCTCCCAGTTGAGTCCAGTGTGAAGTATCCTGGACCAATCCTTCTACTAAATACAAAGCTGTAAATTAATGAATATCATGTCTACTTCCTCCTGGAAACACACATGGACTTATTCACTTAAATTGAGTGCTTTAAAAAAGAGTGTTAAATAACTGTGGCGTGTCTTAGAAGATAGGACCTGTCATTCACCACAAGTAAAAACAGTTAAAAACAAGAGAATGGTCAGAGAATTAACAAGATTAGTGTGACAGTCTTCACTGTAATGAAAGTTCAGGAAGAACATCAGACTGACATTGGTCAGAAAAAAGATTTCAAATTTTCATATATGACAAAGTCACTAGTTGAAGAAACATCCGCATCAATACGATCCAGAAAACAAACACAGCCCAAGTATCTATTTATATTCAAGAGAAAACATTGTTTGATTTTATAAAACACTATAAAGGAGGTTGCAGACCCCAGAGTGTGACTCGTATTCCTCTAACCACAGAGAGTGTCATTGACCAAGGATCCAGGGATGTGTGTGAAAGCTCACCTTGTGTGTGCAGAAGCCTCTAGACCTGAGGAATACTCCCACCAAGATTCAGGAGTGGCAGCGTTCCTAAGTCGGTTCAGATCCTGGGACACACGGGCTACTCTGAAGGGTCTGTGATACCCATTGGCTTCTTCCTTTAACTGCACGGCAGTGTAGGGAACCCAGACTCCCCCGTCCATCCCTGACTCCCCACACTTGCATCCTCAGCTGACAGACCCAGCTTCATTTTCTCTCATGCAGCTATTTCCCCATAAACGCCAATCAAATTTAATCTAATCTTGTTTATTTCTTGGAGAACTCAGACTAAATTACATCTTAACACACTGATTGGTAATATTAACATTTTAATTGGCAAATATAAATGACGTGTTTGTGCTGTGAGGTGCCATCGGAGTCACAGTGACCCTATGCTCAACAGAACCAAACACTGTCTGGTCCTGGGCCATCCTAACAATCCTAGTTATGCTTTAACCCATCGCTGCAGCCACGGTGTCAGTCCACCTCATTGATGGTTTTCCCTGGCCCAGTACTTTTCCATGCATGGTGTCCTTCTCCATGGAATTATCCCTTCTGACAATGTGACCAAAGTGGGTGAGATGAACACTGACCTTATCACTTCCAAGGAGCATTTTGGCTGCTCTCCTCCCAGGACAGATGTTTTGTTCTTGTGGTATGCCATGGTATTTTTCTGTGTTTTCCCCAAGACAACCAATCAAATACGTCAGTTTTTCAGGTTTTCTTATTCCTTGTCCAGTTTTCCCATGCTCATGAGGCTATTGACAATTCTATGGCTTGGGCTAGGTGGATCCTGTCCTCAAGTGACTTTTTTTTTTTTTTTTGCTTTGTAACACTCTAAAGAGATCCTTGCTGCAGATTCACCCAGTGCTTGATGGTGTCTGAGTTCTTGATTGCTGCTCCCATGGGTGCTGATGGTGGACTCAGGCAAAATTGAATATTTTACAACACCCATCTTTTCTCCATTTGTATTGCTGTTGATTATTAGTCCAGTTGTGGTGCATTTTTTTTTTTCACGTTGAATTGTAAACCACACAGAAGACTGAAATCTTTGTTCTTCATCAGTAAGTGCTTCAAGTCATCTTCACTTTCAGCAGACAAGAGTGTGTTATCTGCATATCACAGGTTTTGAATCAGGTTTCCTCCAACTCTGAAGCCACGTTCCTCATATAGTCCACTTTCTTAACTTTCTTCAGCATACAGATGAAATACTATGATATAAATCATAAAATACAAGACAAGCATGGATTAGGTGATCTTACTTAACTAGAGAGAAAGGTAGAGGAGGAGAAAATTAAAATCAGAGCAGTCCTGAGTCCAAAGTCCCAGTCCTGTGTGAGGAGGGATCCCAGCACATGGACTTCAGATGTGACTTCATTCTGCACTTGTATGTCACTGACTCTGACTTAGCCACGTTCATGCTCTAACTTAAATCCCAGAGAGTGTCCTAACTCTGGGATAGGATTGATCGCTCAGCCCCAGGTCTGACTTTTCAAAGGAACATCGCCTGTCTGTCTCTGCAGCCACCCCTGGGCAGTTTAAAACCTCCAGATTTTCAGCAAGGAGCCTAGTGCTTAGGGCTAGTACTACCTAAGAACTCTGTCCTCAGTTTGAGTGGAAAATAACCCCCAGGTTTCTCTCAGCTTCCCCAGAACTCCTGGACATCCTGGAAGAGTCCTTTCCCTCCACAAGGAACAAGCTGCTTTTTCTGGATGTAAGAATGCTTCCTCCTGTTACAATACAACTTTTGAACTCAGAGATGTTGGGAGAGGCAGAGAATCATAAAAATAGAGAGATTCCCGGGGAAACTGCGAGATGGAGAAGAATACCCAGGCTATAGCCAGAAACCTGCCTTAAACCACATCTGCACCTGCCCCTGGTTCTGAATCCTGAGCTTGGTGTGTCCGGAGCGTCCCCTTCTGCCCGTCCCTATGCCTGCAGGGAAGGTTTTTGTCTGGTCTCACCCTGAATTCCCCTCACTGTGTCACTCGCACAGTAATACACGGCCGTGTCCTCGACTTTCAGACTGTTCATTTGCAGATCCAGCGTGTTCTTGGTGTTGTCTCTGGAGATGGTGAAGCAGCCCTTCACTGCGTCTGTGTATAAGCTACCACCACCACTGCTACTAATGGATGAGACCCACTGCAGGCCCTTCCCTGGAGCCTGGCGAACCCAGCTCATGGCATAACTGCTGAAGGTGAACCCAGAGGCTGCACAGGAGAGTCTCATGGACCCCCAGGCTGACTCAGGCCTCCCCCGGACTCCACCAGCTGCACATCACACTGGACACCTGCAAACACAGAGACATCCCGGTCAGGAAACCGTCACACATGTCCACTGTTTCTCTCACCCATTCCCATACACTTGCTCCCCATAAAATGACCTTTTAAAAGAACAACAAGGAAGACCCAGCACAGCACAGATTCCATGGAGATTCGTCTATGTTCAGACCGGATCACTGATTGGGGACACCTGGAATCCTGATGTTGGGGCTCCCCTCCCAGAGCTGCAGGGTTGAGGCTGGGCTGGTTTTCATCACCTGAGGGATGGACCCTATTTGCATATCCTCCTCCTATAAAGCAAACTATGGGCTGGGATGACTTCAGAGAGGGCAGTGATTCAGAACACAAATAAGTGTTCTGGGGAGTTTCATGACAATCATGTTGTTGTTGTTGTTAAGTGCCGTCGAGTCATTTCTGACTCATAGTGACCCCATGCACAGCAGAACGATACACATGGCAATGATAGCATTTGGGAAAACGTCATCTCTCATTATGTGATTGTACTGAGCTAAACCCTCAGTTCCCATTATCTTACTCAGTATCTCATATGCACACAAAACATGTGAGGTGGATGTCAACATACCTTCATTTTACAGATGTAAAAATACAAGCAGCTGTGCCCTGGGGTCTGTGAGGTGTGGAAAAGCATTTACTGGATAATGGAAATCCCTGGTCTGGGCCTGTGCTCCTCACCACGGATCTGACTGCCCACTGAACCTCCTACAGGTCAGAGCTGGACTAGGTTGTGTCCTCTAGAGTTTGTCTAAATGGAATCAAGCATGATGCACTGTTATCTCTTTAGTTCTGTCTCCTCAGTGTTATGTTGGGAGCGATTCTACAGCATGTATTCTAATGGTGAGTAACAGCAATAGCTGTGTATACATAACCTCAGGAGCTCTGGTCACACAGTGGTTAACACATCGTGCTGCCTTCTCTGATGAAGGTGTACAGTCTTGGGAACTGGAAGAGGCAGTTCTACTCTGTCCAGTAAGGTCGCTATCATTCAGAATTGATTCTACGGCAGTAG